ATCCTGAAAAATAATTGTTCCTTAAACAATTCTTGAAAAATCGACAATGTCTCGGTACACTAGGGAAGTGAAAATCTGGTTAATCTATAAGTTGTCCAGCTCCTGCGAGCATCTGGGTATCGCATCGTCTTCAAAGCTTCTACTTCATCTCCTACTTTCAAAAATCTTTAGAACTGGTTTATGATCTTCAACTGTTGGCTTCAACATTGAATCTTTTTTAGTCCACCTTGTTATCTCAGCAGGTAGATGTCTGGCTTGTCTCCTTATTAGGTAGACTCTCTCTTGATGCTACTCGATATACGTAGAGCATCTTCGAAATTCTACCGATCCCAGAGAAAAAATTGCTATGGGCATTGTTTTTTAATAACCTTATAAAAGATCGATTATTTAAGAGATCAGTACCTTTAAATGATATGTCATGTTCAAGCAAAAATGCAACAAGACCAGACAAAAGGAAATCAATGTTAGTAGAAACCAAACAAAAAGAATCAAGTTAGTTAAAATGATTGGTCAAAGAAATGTAATCTTAGCAAAAATAATTAAATTTGACACAAAGTTTAGACTGAAAAATAAAGCATACAAAGAAAATTACTAGCCCTAATCGCATGTGTTCTAGTTCTCTTAGGTTATCCACATGGCTCTAGCGGGGTAGGTTTACTAAATTATCTACATGAGGTTGGGTTCCAGCAACGGGTTCCCAAGCCATCTTTACAACCACTAAGGTTGACTCCGATTCTGGCCCATTACAGACTTGCGAATTGGATTCGGCTTAGGGGATCACAACACTAGAAGCGTATCTCAGATCTGATATCCGGATAGGCAACTTAGGATGCTTTCCAGAGATACTTTATTAGACCCACACAAGAAAACCCAATGCTCCTCGTGAGGTGTGACATTTTTCTCTACTTAGGTAAACCGAGTTTGAACTCGAGTTTAGAGCTATTATATGCAACAGCCTTAAATAAATGCACAGAAGTGTAAGCATTAACCAGAGAGAAAATCTTTTTTATTTTAAAATAACATAATGAATTGTAAATTAAAACAAGATTTAACTCATAATTTCCCAAAATACTAAATATAGGGTAACCAACTCGTGGCTCAACTATCAAGTTGTAAAAAAAAGTCCACAGCGGAGTCGCCAAGCCGTCGACACCATTTTTCGCCCGATTTATTAAGATCGATAGCATTCGCCCCTAGCATAAAGGTGGGAGATCAACTATTGTGCCTAATGATCGGCATTGCCTTAATTTTTAAAATCATGATGCAGTTTTGAAAAGGATGTCGACCTATTTCGGGAATCACCACTAGTCGCCCCCTGAGCATACTTGCTGGAGATGTACCATTAATTCCCTAATAAGTGAACATTGCCTTAGGTTTAAAAATAAATGCAATCAAACAAATTTTTTATTAATCCTAATTAAGCTAAGGTAAATTAAAGGTTTTTTCTAGTTTAAAGTGTCAAATTATGAAAATTAAAGAACCTAGAGGCATAAACCTAAAAATGTATGCTCTAATATTAATCCTATTTGATTTTAGTCAATTATTGAATCAAATAACCGAGATGGTCCCTCGAGCCTTTAAGCGAGGGCCAACTCAAATTATTCCCTAAATTAAAAGGACTATATTCAAATCTAAATAAAAGTGGAGGCTCTATGTATCCTATTTAATTATGTCAATATTAAAGCTCTAATTGAAGTTTGGGGACTAAAAGGGTCAAGATCTAAAATACCAAACTCTAAGAGGCTAAAAGTTTAAAGACCTAAATCGATAATTTCTAAAGTTGAGGCCTAATTAACAACCAAAATTCTAAATATTATCTAAATTATTAAACCTAAAGTATTTTTAGAAAATATTAATTATTAGTAAATTTTAAAAGTCAAGCAATCGATTCGAGTAATCAGGCATCTTATGCAAAAACTCGACTCGAATTGCTCCTTAATTAAACTAGGATGTCATCCTAATTTCTAAGCTCGATTCGAGTGTTAACCTAATCTAAGAAACTAAATCTAAGGATTAAATTATGAAACAAAATAAATAATAATAAACTTAATTAAAATAACTAAAATAACAAATTAAAAAAACAATATACAATAAAAATAAAATAAACATAAATACAAGGACCTAATTGCATAGACATTAAATCACTAAACTAAAAGGGAATAAATTAAACAAAAAAGGGACTAAATTAAAACAAATCAAAATTTGAAGGCTAAATCAAAATAAAATAAAAATAAACATATTATGGACCAAAGTACAAAAAACACACGAAAAATAAAGAGACCTAATGGAAAATTTCCAATTTATTTAAGCCTAAAAATAATCTGTTAAAATAAAAAGGCAAAATTACAAAATCAGTCCACTAAACTTTTTATAAAAATTTAAAGGTCACTACACATGACTAAAATGCAAAACCACGCTAAAAGTAAGGGGACTAAACAGAAATTATACCAAAATTTTCAAAGCACAAATATAAAAGGGAAAATTTTAAAAAGGGTCTCTTTCAATGACCATTTTGTAAAAACACGAGAAAGTTTGGGGACCTAAAACATGATTTCCCTAAAAATTTTCTATAAATTACAAACATTTTTCTTTTTTTTCTTTTCATTTTTTCGTTTTTAAAAAAAAAAGCTAGAGAGAGGTGAGATTTCTCTAGAAAACAGGTCGGTTGTCGGCCCCGACGTGGTGGTCACGGATCCGAGCTTGGTTTTGTGAAAAACGTTCCCCAACGCCATGAAAATGGCCGAGACCCTTCGGCTTCCCCCATCTCCGACGACCTCCCCTCCGACACAGGTAAGACTCCGATCCACTCTTTTATTATTAGTTTTTTGTATTTTTTTACTGTAGAAAAATGGCTGGTTGATTGTTTGTTCGAACTAAACATTTTTTCTTTTCGGTTATTCCGAAAAAAACCCAATCTTTTGTTGTTTATTACATTTTGAAAACTAAAAAAAGGGTTACTTTTGGTATTTTTCGAAGACTAAAAAATACTCTTTTTTGCTGATGTTCGAAACTTAACAAAAAAATATTAATACTATTCGAAATTTAAAGCAAAAAAAGTAGAAGTATAACCTTGAATCTTTAGTTTATTGCTTCTCAAGACCGAAAACATCCAGCCCCTTTTACAGTGATTGTGTTCGGATTTTATACCCATTTACAAGGAAATGAAAATCATTGTGTTTTGTTATCTTGCTTGTTGTCTCTGCAGGTGGGGAGATGGTGGCGTGCTGGAGGCTTGGTGTCGTGCTGGAGGAATCGACACTAATTGGGGCAGTGGGTGATGCTAGTTGAGTGCTGGAGGAATCGACACTAATTGGGGCAGTGGGTGATGCTAGTTGAGTGCTTACTGGGTCGGTTGCAACTGATTGGGGGGTTTGGGTTGCTCCGTTTGGGCCCTACATCGGGTCCTGGCTTGGGGCCGATTCGGGTTTTGTAAAGGGTTTCGGGTCTTGGTTGTAAAATGGGTTTGGGTATTGGTCTTAGGTTGGGTTTTGGGTCTGATGAAAAATAGTGATTACAAAATGATTTAAAATATAAATAAAATACATTCACACATTACTCAATTATAATATTTCTATATATATATCATATTATTCAATTATTTCATATTGGAGTTCTTATTAGGTCATTTTCCCCTTTTTTATTACCATTAACTATATATATTATGTCATGATAAGTTTGTCATTTGAATGGTGCAACCCAATGGTTAGGTTGTTTGCTTCATCTCCTCACATCTTGGGTTTCAACCCCACTACCAATAGTTATTGATTCAATTTATTGAATTAATTAAAAGTTAGGACCAAATTAATAGAATGTGTAAGTAATGAAGACTAAATGTGTAATTATACAAATTTTATTAACTGTCACGCCATCTTCTCTGTTAATGTTTAACGACAAGTGGCTTGATTGGCAGGATTTAAATAGTTAGGTGACCCGATTGACAAAATTAAAAAATGTGTTTAAAGTAAAAGAGATAAATAGTTAGGTGGTCAATGGTAGTTTATCCTAAAAACTAATGTTTTATAAATATTTTATTTTAATTAAATTACTTATAATTTTAACTAATTTATAATTATTCGTTTAGTATTTTATAATTTAATTTTTATAAATTAATTTAATGGTGCTATTTGTTAATGGTGTTCATTCACATTCGACGAGCGTTATAGAATTTTTCTGTTATAGATAGTTGCCTAAATCCAATCTAGACCAAAAATGTTCTAATTTATTCAAATTTGTCCAATGTTTTTAGAGTTTTTACCCGAATTGATAAATTTAATTAAAACAGTTTATGTAACAGCTTAGTTGTTTCCTCTGAACATAACAGTTTGATGTAACAGTAATATTTATATTTTTAATGATATTTATGTATATATTTTTTAAAATATCTAGTATGGTATATACATTTAATTTATCTAATATATATATATATATACAAAATATCTAATGTAACATTTAAACTACTGTTTTGTATATTATATTGTATGTAATTTTTTATTGATCAATTAAACATTTGGTAACAATACTATAATACAAATATCATATTAATACACTAAATAACAGTTTAAGTAATTCATTAAACATTTTACCAGCATTTAGATACCCGTGTTCAATGTTGATGAAGGTGGACATTGAAATCCGAATTTTCTTTTATTAGTTAATTATTTATTAACGGATCGCCTGTCATAGAATTTTATTTGCTTCCATCCCATTCAAAAAATTGTATTGTTAACATATGTATACCCACCCTAGAAAATATTTTTAGATCCACCAAGGACCATATTGAACATTTTAGAAAGATAAGTACCATATAGAACATTTTATTAAAGTACAACTATTAGACATTTTCACAAACTATGAAGGTTTAAGGTTTTGTTGAGGTGCAAATACAAAATACGATATTATAGCTAGATAAAATCACTATTTTTTTTTAAAAAAAAAAAATAAGGAAATGAAAATCTTAAGCAGGAAAAATAAAAATGAAAAGTAAAACAAAGCATCAATTCTAATAAAACTGCAGATGCTTGATGTAATGAAAGCAGCAGTAAGAACACTCTTTACAAAATGTTTTCCTTATAGATTAAATTATAAACTCACTCCAAATCTAAGACCCCGTCAAATTTTCCTCAGATCAATTATTGTATCAGACAAGCAACATTAAAATGTGGAAAAACTCCATTGTTTTACCTCTTTTCAGAGCCCATTCGAAGGTCGGAATACAGTATAACCATTAATGCCACGAGCAATACTTGAATACTCCGGGCTGTAGTATGGGTAACTTTCACCATTTCCATTCCTCATGCCAAGTAACGACTGATCGGTAGATGCCATTTGCCACCCGGTTGGGACCAATCCATCAATTTGTTGTCCACTGGCGGCATAAGGTGGGGGGCTAGCTTGAGGAATACATTCCCTTGGTGTGTCAAAATGGTTGCCTGAGGAACTACAGTAACCTGGTTGGAACCTGTCATCATGGTCAAATCTGCACGAGCCACTTGAGGATCGCATCTCATCTGACATGGCCAAATCGGATGTAAAAGAAGAATGCTGATTTAATAAATATGAGCCATTGCATAGAGCAGGGAAGCCTGCTCCTGCCCTACTAACATTGTGCTCCTCATCAAGCAACTCATTGATGATGTCAAGATGTGGAAACTCATCTGCCAACACACCTTGGGTCTGACGCCCAGATGCACAGGCTGGAAACTCCATTGCAAAGTGATCCCTGGATCCTTTATGCACAGACTTGTACAAGTCAAGATTTTCAATCTCACCAAGCAAAGAAGGATCAGAGTGCATGCTTCTATTGCTACCCCCATGAAAACTCTCCATCCAGTGGGGAGCATTCCGAAAGGTTTCCCTAGTTACCATGCCAAATGGAATGCCTGATTGGATAGAATTTGCCTCCATCCTCTCAGAACTCTGGGGCATATACATTGGTGTAGAAACAAAGGTAGGCGGTTGCGAGTATACTGGCAATGGGTTGACTGCTGAGCTAGGGGAGTTGGAATGCTTAAAACCAGCTGAACTAGAAGTAACATTATGGTTACCCATTATGGCATTTCTGTAAGATTGAGGAACATAACTAGCAGCTGGAGATGGGTCAGGACCTAAACGGCCAACGGCACTAACTGTTCGAGCAAGTAAAGGAGTTGTTTGAACCATAGAAACAACAGGAGCAATTGGCCTAGAACCAGGAATTAGAGGAGAACTGGAGGGCCTAGACATCACAGGTACTTGTGGGGTCGTATGTTTTTCAATTGGTTTTGGAGCTGCAGCCTTCTGAGTCTCTGATTTCAATACATCAGTTATTTGGATTGATATAGTTGAAGATGTAGATTTATCACTCTGTTGCAGGCACTTTGATGAAGTCTTCCTAACCGGCATAGAATTTACACTACCAGCACTCCTGTACTCTGACCTAAACTGCACGGAGGATGGCAAATTTCTGGAAGGGCTTCTTGGAGAGGATGGCACAGCAGCCGTGTTCTCTTCAGGTCTTTCTAAATCAACTGAACCTTGGGTGCTGGGCTTCTTTTGCGGCAAAACTTCCTATAGTACGTTGAGAAGATAAATGTCAATCATAAAAATACAAATTTGTAACTGGCAGAAAGAGTTAAGAACTTAATGAGATGGAACATAAATATGCACCACCTTCCTAGCAGTATCCTGCTCGGACCACTTTGTCAGATCTGACGAGGAAACAGCAGGCTCAGACTCAGATTCACCGGCCTTACTACTTCCAGAAACATCATGTTGATGCCCTGCATCTAATGCAGTACAAGAAGGCCGATTATCAGAAGCTGTAGTCCAACTACTGCCATCGCTTACTGTTTTACTTCGCTGGTTCCTTCCTCTACAAATTTGAAGAGCCAGATGAGATAAATACCGAATCTTATCATCCAGAGGAACAGAAAGAAACCTAAGCAATGCTTTACCTGCTCAGTGATTTTTTATTGTGGTTTGAAAATGAGTTCCCTTTATAGGGACCATTCATGACCACCGATGGTACAGAGTCTGCTGAACACGTTGATGAACTATCATCCATTAAAGATGGGCTCCTCCTATCAGTCACTTCATTTTGTACACACGACAGTCCACTTATTCTACGGGTACAGGCTTCTGTGGGAGGATGAATTTCTGATGTATCTGTATCCCAATTAACAGGACTGGCATCTCTGTCTTCTGAGTCAGGCGGAAGAACTTCTGTGGCAGCATCAACTGAATCAGAAACATCAGAAACATCACCCAGAACATCAACCTTTTCAGGCACTGGCTGCTGCTCCCCCATCACGGAGGCTTCTTTTTCATCATTGGGGTGGTCCTCTTGGTGCTTCTCCTGTGCTGCCACAATAGCCTTCTCCTCCCTCCCCTTATCTTTGCTTTTCCGATTATTCCGTTTTTGCTTAGCCTACAGTATGTAAGCAATTGGAAATGCATCGCATTTAGAAAAAGAACTTTACAAATTTAGTCTCCACCCACTTCAACTTTTTTTCAAAATGGAAGTCTATACATACACATTTATGGACACAACACATTCACAGAAACTTCAAATTGCTTCCAAAGTGAACTAGGGAATGCTTCACAGAATCACCAGATAAAATAAATTTTGAATATGCAAAACAATACTTTATTTGATTAAGATTTGCTCAGGTGGTTCAAGGAGAGTATATTCAGGATATCTGCTTAGATTCTACTATGCCATAAACAACAAGGATTATACCTGTTTTTTCTTTGATTTTTTCTCCTTTTCAGATTGTGCTCGTTTAGCCTTCTGCTCGCTTTCAGCCAGCCAAGCAGCTTCTTCACGAATGAGTTCTTCTTGCCTTTTCAAAGCAACAGCTTCCTGATAGGCAACTTCAATCTTGCTGCTGAATGTAAGCAAAAATTAGGGTGTCTATGGGTACAAAATAAGTATCACTATCATCCATTACTATCCTACAGTGATTGCTGAAAAGAAGTTTGAAACACTGAAAATTAAGCTGACAGAAAAAATCATATAAAGGAGCACCAATCAATTACCACCAAAATTTGTGAGCATAAACATCCATCAGAAAATAAGACGATGCCCTATTTCTAGAAGAATTATTTTAGCTGTGGTAGGAATACACTTTTGTTCTATACCATCCTGGATATTGTTTTCGTGGTGACCGGACACATCGTGCAGATATACATATGCATATGTAACAGAATGCAAATCCCACATCCCAGTGAACAAAATTCAGTATTCATTTAGTACGAAAACTGTATGCTAAATTATAAAATTTGCAATTTTCAAAGAAATATCTAGGAAAAATAGAGAGATCCATTAAATTATATAGTGTCTCTCATAAGATATTTACCCTCCATTTGTTTCTTAAAATATATTTTCCAGTCATCCCACAAATATATGTTATACTTATTACTCCCTTAGGTCCATTAGATGATAGGAGAAACAGGAAAATGTTGGATGCATACAAATGAGTCATATTTATACATGCATATTCATTCAGTGGCTGATACTAGTTTCAAGGGTACAAACCAGTATTTCCACATGTAATGAGAATAAAAAAATAAAAAAACTATTATTAGTTTAATGCATAATTAAAAAACATGGTACCTGAAAATATGAGAGAGAACAAATATTTCCACTGTCCTGCGGCCCAACTCCATAAGATGCCTCTCATCACGCTCAATTGAATCCTTGTTGAAATCCTCCCCAGAATTTCCATCCTACATAAAAATGAAAAGACTTGTTAAGACAGGAAAAACCTTTGCTTTTGGTTGCTGCAAAAATACCAGAATAAACATGTTCCGTGAAGGGCTAGAATTATCTTTCACAGAGAGGTATACATGAATAGCATTAGCTTCTAAGGAAGCTTAAGCATCTTTTCAGGCACTAGAGAGTTGAAAGAATTCATCTATTTGGACAAGAAGTAAAAATAAGTCTGCTACATATGTTTTCAACAATGGACGAAAGTTTTAAAACAGAACTTAACAAATTACTCTATGCTTCCTGAAACGCATGTGGCGTTCTTACTTACTAAGACCTATAATCAATATTAAGAAACATACCTTTGTTCGGTTTTGAGGACCTTTATCATCTTTCGGAGGCAGTGGTTCCAAAGCTGCCCTCTCTAGAAGTAGTAGCACATCATCCACTAACAAAAACATATCTTTTTCCACATGAACAATTGGTGCTGGCATTTCTTCAGCATCCAATAATTTTGACTTTGCTTTCTTGCCCTTACTCTGACCTTCTAGTGCCTTCAACCCACTATAAAGTGAATCCATCACCAAAGTAGAAGTCACTTCCTTCTCTATAAAAAAGTGCTTCACAACTACTTTCAAAATCACATCTGTTTTCTCCCTGGACATCCGGCGCCTGGCATTTTGGTCAATCCCCAACCAGAAAGCACAGAAGCTGCAACAATTGCAAATAAATAGTTGAGAAGAAAGGCAAGAGGATAAAGAGTGATGACCTAATGAGAAATAAAATAACCAAATATAGGTAATTTAAAACATGAAGAAAAACACAAAAGAAAAACTATTAAGTTGCAAAAAATGAGGCTAATTTTGATACATGATGTCAAGGCAATAAGGAATTTGATGCAGTAAGAAAAATGATCGAAGCTTAAGCAGAACATCAGGCAATGGTAATATGAACAAGAGAAACCAATAGATAAGAAATCCTCTACAAGGAAAGATAAAAACATAACATATTTAGTGTTCTAGATGAGTAACAAGTCAATAAAAGACGGTGCAAAAAATCATTTACCTTGACCAGCTAGCTTTGTCCTCTATCAACTTTACTAGCTTTTGTTGTCTCTCATCCAAAAAACGGCCACAAATTTGCTCTACATTTGTCAAATATACTCTAACAAGTTCTCTCTTATACTGACAATCAAGGCAACGAAAAGGCCGGTCTGCTTTCTCCCTACAAATCCAAAACAAAATATTAAATTTGCTCAACATGGAAAAAACTAAATCAGGTGTCCACAAATTACTACGGCAAAGCAACTTGATTTTAGTATACAAAAGCCATAATTTCAAAGCATGGTAACCACTAAATGCAAGGAGCCTTCTTACAGTATAATGACCTCATTAATAAGCCATCTTTATCATCAAAGATATAATACAAAGGCAGAATGAAACATTTACTGATCAAGAGTTTTAGCCTGAATTTTATATTTACTGAAAACTAGGACCGCAAAAGTTGTGTTGATAAGCATGACGAACAAGATTAATCAGAAGAAGGTGCATCGCGAGGAAGAATGGACTGAACTTGAAGGCTCACAAGTATTTTTGATTTCGGAAAACTATAGCAGTGGAAGAATTGGAAGTTTCAGGTGATTCGCATTTGATTATTGAATGAAGTTGGAGGTTCGGATGGTCTCCGATGACAAGACAAGCAATTAGTGATAGAAAGGCGGATAGAGTGATTTCGAAGCTAGATTTTTTTACTCTTATACTGTGGAAGCTCATGACTTTTTTGTTAGAATTTGGCTTTTTTGGAATGAGTCAGTTGATATTGAGGCTGGCAAGATGATGGATTCTTTCATAGTATCTACAGATCCAGGCCCTCCAGCTTTGCTGGAGCTTTTTCCTAGGTCTTGTAATATGGAGGCAGACAAGTTAGTTAAGGAGGGGATTGGTTGATTGTTTCAGGCATTTGGTTGTACTGTTTTCTGTTGTATTCCAGGAAATGTTTAGCCGTTAAGTCTTCATTGTTGTTGCTAAATTGGTTAACAGCTCAGCCAAAATTTATGCTGTGTTAGTAGCTTAGTTGGTTTAGGCTGAGCTAGTTCTATTGTATAGGGTTGTCTTCGGTTCTTTTTTGGTTTTTTGGTTATGTTGGGGGTGTTTATCTGGTTGTATCTTATGTAATTTCTTTTGGTTAATGAAATCTTTAGGCACTCTTTTCCTCCTTCCGCTGATTAAGGAGCTTCTCTACAAGCTCCTTTAATCAAGAAGGGGGTTTTTAACGAGGCCTTCAATTCCTATAAAAAAAAAGCATGACGAACAAGTACAACAATCGAAATTTATATATGCTGCTACTATGTTGCTCCAACTCTTTATTTTTCTTTAAGTACCCACATTTGACATATATGTGAAGATGGGTATAGAGATATGAACCTCTAAATACAAGTAGAAACGGATTGAAAAAATTGACAAGCCAGACATACCATGTCCAACACTCACCGAAGTCCGGCAACATAGACTTATATTGAATGAAGCACCAAAGAAAGATGTATTTATCAATAAATTACCTGATGACTTGAACTTGAGCTTTTATGATTAGGGTGTCGGATTCTATAAATCCATCATAAACTTTTGAAAGCTCCATAAACTTTTTCCACCCCCAGTCATGCTCTTTCTTCCAGAATCGATGTAAAGTATCTGCAATCCACAGAATGTCACTGATAATTCATGATCACTTGCCACAACTAAACTAAATTTGAGCCAGCCAACCTGAATATTTTGATTTCTTAGGATCTTTATTCACGACAGCAATTGTAAACTGTGCAAAATGACTCCAACCTGTCTCAAACAGAGCGAAGAATAATATAAATTTAATAGCATAAGAAAAGATTAATGAAAATAAATCGAATGTGTAGTTAATTTACCGATAATATCTAACCTGGAAGAAGTTTGTCATGATTAGCAACACAGAGAAACAATGAGAGATGGTTGCAAACATCACAACCTTGTGGATAAATTAAGATGTACCTGTCAACCATGGAAAAATGCTAAAATCGAAACTAGTGAATTTTCCCAGCTGAAGAAGCATATGTTACTTCAAGGCCAAGATTAGAAAGTTTAAAAGATTAATCTGTGTGTACACAAGAACATATGCACCACAGAATTTTTTTTTGATAAGAATGACAGGCCTCCTTAAAAACCTCCTTCTTGATCAAAGAAGGAGGAAAAGAGTGCCTTAGAAACTTTATTACTCCTCCGAAATTACATAAGATTTAACGTAGACACCATACTGAAAAAACACAACAGACTAAGCTACTCAACATAACCGAAAACCTAAACTCAAACGATAAAACGCACTGGAAACGACTAAACATCAACCAATTCCCATCTTTGCTAAACTATCAGCCTCCCCATTACACACCCTTGGAATCAGTCTAATAGAGTGCACCCTGTCCGTGATAAAAGATGAAATCTCTTTAACTAATGGGAGGATAAAAACTGGGGCCATAGCTGGTGTATGGACCCATTCCACAGCCGACTTACAGTCACTTTCCACAATCAACCTTCCAACCTTAACAACAGCCAGTAATATTTTAGCCCCATACCACTTGTAGCCACCAACTTCAAACGCATTACTACGAAGTTCTCTTTTGTTAATCTGTGAAAATTTCTCTATCTTCCACGTATACTTTCCATATAGTTCAGAAGGTTTTGATCCTATAAAGTAAGTGAACTCAGTTTAAGAAGTTTAACTCATAAAATATGGGAAGAATAACAATAACATAGACCAAAAGTTCCATGCATAAAATGAAAATATATGGAAGGTACAAAGTGAGGTTTTTTGATAAGTGTTCCCTAATCCAACTTGATTTGTAATTCGTCGCACAGAAATAGTTCAGAGCAAGCATAATCTAATAGCAAGCAAACCTATTAACCTATTTTTAAAAATAAATAAACTCAGTTGAATAATTGAAAGAAAGGAAAAATAACAAAACTACATGCCAAACAGTTCATACTTAAATTGGAATATATATAAAATTCTGGTTGAGAAAACGTCTATAACTATTCCTCAGCTGAGAATCATTCGTACTTTTAGCAAAATAGTTCAGAAAACGCATCATCTACTAGATATCCAAATTAAAAAAATCCTGTGTCCAAAAAACAAATTCCTTGACAAGGATTCTTGAGATAAAAACAGTAAGGTTCGAGAAAAATCTTATCAATCTACATTTCAGGAGGCGAATGTGTCATGAGAACCACGGTTATGTAGTTAGCCTTCTATGATGAACCATTGATAAATGAATTAGAGCTTGAAAGGAGAAAATTCACATTATGCTTATAAGGAATTTATGAACATTAGAGAAAAGCTCAGATGAATTCCAAAATTTACACAGAAAATTTGCAATGGACTACCTGAAACTTAATTCAAGCCAATTTTTAATCATGTAATAACGTGTTTTCATGGTTCCCGAGGCTATTTGCTCTCTCGGTCAATAAAGGGGGCGAAGTTGTGGAGTTTAGGGTTAATACTTCTTCAGGTTGGTTGTGGGATATTCAAATGAGAAGGAATTTGGTTGATTGGGAGGTTGAACAATGGCTATTGCTTAAGTCTTTGTTGAATAGTACTTCTTTGATGACTTCGGTGGAAGACTGCTGGACGTGGACAGGAAATGGGGAGAGCTGTTTTTCAGCTAAATCATGCATTAAGAAATTTTTCGATCGGGTTGGCACTGATGTAACTGATGGTTCTTGGGAAAGACATGTTTAGTTAGCGGTAGCCCCGCCCCGTGTGGAAACTTTTGTTTGGTAGGTTGCCCATAGAGAATGGCAGTTAAAGAGGAATTGTTGAAGCGAGGCATGGCTGGGATTGATGATTCCCTTTGTCCGCTGTGTGGTAAGTTTTTGGAGTCGGTCTCTCATCTTTTTTTGCGGTGTGAGGTGGTCTGGGGTCTTTGGTCTAGATTCTTGAATTCTTGGAATGTTTCATTTGTTGTTCCGGAGAAATTGATTGCTTTGATCTCTGTCTGGGCTGATCTTGTTCCGAGCTCCACTATTTGGACATTCATTCCAGAGGCTGTTTTGTAGTCGGTTTGGAAGTGTAGAAATGAGATAATTTTTTAGGATGGGAAGTTGGATGGTATGTTGTTGTTCTTCCTTGTTCGCTATAGAATCGCATCTTGGTTTGTTGCTAGATTTAAAGATGTGAAAATTCCTTTTGATTCCCTCGTGGGTGACCCAAAATTAGCAGATTTAGTGGGAAGACCGAAGAAGGGTTGTTCTTATACGTCCTGGTGGGTTCCTCCTCCTTCGGGCTTCATAAAACTACATGCAGATGGTGCGATGGTAAAGGGCTGGGCTAAAGGAGGAATAGGTGGTTTGATCAGGGACAGTGATGGTTTGCTGCTTGGTTTGTTTTTTGAGGGTTGGTTTTGGTCCTCCTATCCTTGCTGAGTTATTGGCAATTAAAAGAGGATTGCTTCTTATTGAGGAAATAGGAAATGTTTCAAATCGAAGGCTTATTCTTGAATCGGATTCTCTTACTGCTTTGGAGTGGATCCGAGTTGATGTACCCCGATGTTTGAGTCTTTGGTGAAAGACATTGCTTCTCTAGTGGTACCTCAGGATATTATAGTTAGGCATATTTTGAGAGCTGCCAATTGGGAGGCGGATAAGTTGGCAAAAGATGGAATAGGTTGATTCCAGTGTTGTGTGTCTGGGTGGTTTGTGTTGATGTGAGTTGTATGTTTCAGTTCAGGGTGTTTTTGTTTTCAGTTGTTTGTTGTGAGTGGAGGATGTTTGGATCAGGCTTTGTAATATTGTTCTGTTAATAAATTTCAGAGGCACTCTTTTCCTTCTTCCAATGTCCTTCAGGTTACTGCTGTAACATGAAGGTTATGAGGGGGTTTTTTTAATGAGGCCTCCTTATATTTTCTATCAAAAAAGAACGTGTTTTCATCCGCTGGATTTTTAATTTATAAAGGATTCAGCCTAACACTTCAATAGACATCATGATGATCGAGAATAAACAAACAGCGTACAAATACATGTTGAAAAGAATAAAGTGGATTCAACTGAAAATGAAAGGGATCATTAAGATTACCACCACCGCCATCATCATCATCAGAGTCCCAGTAAGGGGGTGAAGTTGAAGGTGTTCCATTTTCTAGCTGCTCAGAAGACCGCCACTCTGCCAACGCTTCCCCTGCTTGACAACGCTGCCCACTTGAAATCCCCTCCACAGACCTTCCCACTCCAGACTCCTCACTTTCAACCGCAGCCATTCCCCCCTAGAAAGCTCCTTCCTACACTCCTTGAGTTCCACTTGCTACACAATTGAAAACTAATCAAAATTATTAACTCTTAAACCTCACTTTGAAATCTAAATAATTAGAAACATCATTATCCATATAGGCATATATCCCCAATTTATTTAATCAAAGCATCCCAAAACCCGAAACTAAAACTAAAATTACATCAAATTTCTACTGTCGTTTACCATTAAAATTTCCGCAAAACCAACTGACACAAACACAATCTATTAGGTTCAAATGCTATTGATACCAAAGTTTTTCATATTCATATATATACACATACATATTAATTCAGAGAATGTATCATAATTTTAATTAGATAGACTTAAATACTACAATCAGCCAAATTAAAATAAAAAAACAACAAAACCCTTATTCAAAAAAAATCTTAATAAAATCAATAATCAAGCTCGAAATTGAACCAAACATAATCCCATAAATGAATCCATTAAACCCAAATTAAACAAGAATCAAGTTAGGACCCAAATTACATGGCCTCAACCTCAATTAAACCCTCCGAACAAAATGAAGATCGCCGGACTCAAACCCTGCTTCCCCAAAACCCCAATCAGAACCAAGCCTTAAAAAACAAAGACCCAATAGAAAAAAGGGAAATAAAAAAGATTCGTACAAACATCCTATAGATTGAATAGTGAAAACGAACCCGGAGCCAATAAAGCTTATCTTTTTGCTAATTCAAATAGGGGCTATGGAAGCTCCCTTGAGATTCTAGAGAGGATAACAGAGACAAAAGTGAAAACAAAGGGGGTAGCAGCAAGAGAAAGAGCAAAGAAAGAGAAGAGATCCCAGAAGAAATGTTTTTGTTTATATTTATTATTGTAAATTCTTTAATTTATTTTTTTAATTTTTCTTTTATAATTTACTAATTCTTTTTCTTTTTTTCTAAACTCAGATAGAGGATATATATATATATATATATAAATTGTAGTTAAAATTTAAATATTAGGGTAAATTATAAATTTTATCATAATTTTACTTTTTCTTCTCTTTTACTCATTGCATTTTAAATTTTTTTAATTTTTTTACTGAATTTAATACATTAAATTTTTTTTGTCACTTTGTTATTAAATAATTTTTTTTTTTGAAACAGATATTTTTGTATGATTTTATTGAAATGGCATCATACAAAATCAAGCGTAAAACATGGATCTGGTTAAAAAATTTCTTCAATCCTAAACAAAGGAAAAATAGTGCATCATGATTGTCATTGCAAAGAAAACTCAAACTATCCTTCGTATTCATGATAATACAAACTAGATGGGAACAATAATATACCCAAAGGCCACTCACGCTCTCTTATGTCAATATGGATAATAGGATTTAATTGGGTACTGCCACAACAACAACTAGATTTCAAGTAGCATCCAAAATAGTCGACGTTAAAACATCATTTTGAAAAGAAAAAAAATTTTCACCAAAAAGAACTTTGTTTTGCATTTACATAATAATCCATTTATAACGTCGTTAATGAAAAAACGATTTAGTGACTAAAAAACTCCAATACATTTAGTTTAGTGAGAAAATTAAAAATATTTAAAATATAGTTCGTGAAATAAGAGAGAGTAAAGTTCAGTTATCAAATTTGTAATTTATCCTAAATATTTTTATATAAGTTTAATATATCTATTTTTTTTATATAAACTTTAATATTTTATCATATATTTATTCACTTGTCTTTATTTTTTCTCGCTAGAATTAATTAATATAATTTCAAGATAGTTAAAAAGAAACGAAAGTAATAAGAAAAAAGGTAGGTTCGCTTGATTTTTAACAATTTTTTATTTTTATTTAAAAAAATGTATCTTTCATAATTAGAAATAAATATTTACTTTTAATAATGATGACATATATTCTTGTAATAAAGATATTTAAAAATAAAATAATAACTTTTTTATATTTCTATGAATTCAGAATAAAGTGAAGATTATATATTTAAAATCATAAAAATGTATTTTGTAATAAAAAGGTATTTTGTAATAAAGTGAATATTATATTTTAAAATTATTTTTTCCCTTTTCTTGGTCAAATTCTATCTCAATTTTTTAGCCCAGCTCGCTTGCTCCCCTTTCTCATCTTCGTTAACACACGTTTTAAATATATTCTTTTACAACACATTTTCTCTTCGGTCTTTTTTTATAGGTTAATTGGTTGTTTTTCGTTTAATTTTTTCAGAATTAAAATTGGTTATTTTTCGTTTAATTTTTTCATAATTAGATTTGACATCTTATCGACTGATCATGATGACGCTAATTGTTATCCTATTGATTTTCTTGCTTTGAGAATCAAATTAGATTTGGATATACGGTTTGCGCTCGGAGATAGTTATCTCAAAACGTTCGACTCTAATTTACGATTATCGGTAGTTTTTTAATAGTTTTATCCCCTATTATGGTTCATTTGCTTATGCATTAAGAAATATTCATATCGATCTTTTATTCAAATTTTTTTAACATGTTTTTAACATTTTTCCTATATAATCCTTGTAAGATCTCAAATGACTAGTTTCTTGTGTAGTAGTTCTAGAAAAATGTCATAATTGTGTCTTTAGTTTACACTTATAACTATAAGCCTTCGTTATAATGTTGAATTTTTCATATTTTTCAGTAAAACTAACGACTTTTGTTTGCATAAAAAATTCTCATTTATTTTATTATGACATTTGCTATTTATATCACTACATCAAAATTGTTCTACAGCGACATTTTTAGCGGCATTTTGAGAGTAAATGCCACTAACTTTAAGCATATAGCGGCGTTTTCATTCCAAACGCTACAAAATGGTAAATTTAGTAGCGTTTTTATACAAACGCTGTAATAGGGTTAATCTATAGTGGCGTTTTATCAACAAACGTCGCAAAAAAGTACTTTAGCGGCATTGTTATATAAACGCCGCAATAGGGTTAGTATATAGTGGCGTTTTTTCAACAAACGCTGCAATATTTTTATACAAACGTCACAACAGGGTTCATCTATAATGTCATTTTTTCAAAAAACACCGTAATAGAGTAGTACTTTAATGGCGTTTTTATACAAACGCCGCAATGAGTAAAATGTATTTTTTTCACAACGATTGACCAAAGTATGATAGACTTAAAATAAAAGTGACATTTGGTGTATAGCGACATTTTTAGCAGCGTTTTTCAATAAAACGCCACAAAAGACTCTTACTCTAGCGGCATTTGACTTTCATGGTGTTTGTATACAAACGCCGCTATAAACTTGTACTTTAGTGGCGTTTATATACAAATGCCACCATAGACTCGTACTTTAGTGGTGTTTTTATACAAACACCGCTATATACTTATACTTTAGTGGCGTTTTTGTTCAAACAAAGTAATAGTTATGTACTTTAGTTGCGTTTTGTAATAAACACCGCAATAATGTTGTAATTTAATGGCGTTTGTATTATAAACGCCACAATTGTCCAATTCTTTAACCCATATGGTTTCAAATCCCTAATTGTTTCATTCAGAATTTCCTAATTCTGTGCTCCAACGCCCTACCATCACAGTGAAGTCACCCCGGGCAACCATCATCACAAGTGCAGCATCACGCCGCCATCGCCTGTTTCCGGTCAACAACAGGTATGTCTCTCTTCTCCTTCGCACTCTTCCATTTTCGTGATCCGAAACCATCCATTTGGGTGCCATTTTCGTACCAGTCATTCTTGAAATCCATTTGGGGGGCATCTGTCTTGGACTCCTGGTTTGGTATGCATCAGTTTTTATTTATACACTTTTGAAGAAACCAAATAAGGCTAGAAGTATTTCTACTTTGTTAGATATAGTACTATATAAAAGCCATTAACTTTCCTAACCCACTTATAAAAAGTATTTCTTTCTACTTTATATAGGAGACCTTCTTGTCCAGCTTAAGAGATTTGCAGCTTGAACTTCGCATTACAGTAGCATATGGGAATATTTTACCGACCAAGTTTCTCAACATTCCACCAATAGGTTAGTCCATGATAGTTTTGTTAATGGATTTGGAGTTTATTATTTATGCTTATTGGCCATTTATATGTTTGTGCTTATATCTAATGTTTGTTCTCAAGTCAAGAAACACGAAACTATTTTTTTCTTGGAACGTATAATAGTAATGTGATCTTAATGGATTCAGGTTTTCACCTAATGCTAGACTTCTAGTTTCTTTCTTGAAAGGTGATTGCTAGTTTTGTTGACTTAAGTTTGTGAAACATCGACCACTTGGCTGAGAGATTTGTCAATGAAGTTGTAGTCTTATCTATACCAACTATATGCGTTGTTAGATTGTTAAACAGCTTAGGATTAATATCCCTAAGGTATTTTAAATCATTTTCAGTTTTCATTTTTTGATCCTTACAACTTTTCAATTTTTCTAGCAAGTACGATTCTTAAGAATTTGCATGTAGTTTATTTATTATAGGATCCCTCGTTTTATCATTAACTAATTTCATAAAAATCAATTCTAGGCTTGAAACTGTGCACAGTTACCCATTAGGAGAAATATAATGGATAATATTTGCATTTGCAAAATCTTTTGGTATTAAGAACAATGGTCTTACTAAGGATAAAAGGTATTCTATCTTCATTCCGAAGTTGTAATGCATCATTCTGTCTTCTCAGGAACAGTCAACATACACCCAAGTCTACTGCATTGTACCGTGGTGCTGCTCTTGTACAAAAGCACGTCAGATTCCTTGCTATCATTTCATTTTAATTATGACTGCTTTTAAATTGCAGAGTGTTTACTTCTCTGCATAATTGCAGCATGTTTTGCTTTTTGGGTATTTGTTGGAAGAACTAGATATCAAGATTATTTTAAAGCACTTCGGTCATTTTCCTTAAGTCTCCCTAAGATCCCAGTGCCTTTTGGATTCAGAATTATCCCTTCAAGTGTTTTCCTGTCAAGCACAATTTGTTTTACTGCGGTCAATCGTCATTCATAATCTGTTAACCTCCATAGTTTGTTGATGCTTATTGTTATTTCTCCGGTAGCTTGTTGACCTCACTTAATAGTTTGGAGAAGGAATATATTTCACCGTTTGTTTGGCCAACGGTGATGTTCTTTCTCTGCATTCATCGTAGCATGTTTCTCTTTTGTGTGTTTGTTGGAAGAACATTGACATCCAGATAATTTTAAAGCATTTCTTATCATTTTCCTTAGGTCACCCTAAGATCCAATGCCTGCTGGATCCAAAATTCTCCCTTCAAGTTTTTTCCCGGTTTTATTTTACTTCCATCGTATTTGTTTACCTGCTTATCTTTATTTTTCTTTCTTGGCAGCTCATTTACCTCACTTAATAGTTTGGCAAACGAAAGAGATATTCAAGTTGCTTCTAACATGTATGCTTTTACAGTATAAACCCAATGCAAATTATGCGGACGGAGTTCATTTCTAATAATATGAAACAATGTCGGCTCCTTTCACTGACAACTTTTACATAAGCATTACAGTTTTGTATTTGCATTGTTAATGTTATTTCTCACGTTATTAATTTTCATGTACTTTTCGCATTACTCTTTCATGCAGAGTTTTGTTTATTGGCATGTTTTAATTATACGTCCGGTCTCATCTGTTAGGGTTGTAAAGGTGCGAATTTGATTAGGTTTCGTCGTTGTTGATTTTTCATATATCAAATGGCTATTAAATGTGTCAAGCTCTATATAATGCTTCTGCAACTCCTTTATTCAAGCTTTTTCATAGTGAGTTTACATATAAATTGATAGTTTACATATTTGGGAGGGAGGGGGTTTGCTCTGTGCCTTTGTGCCTAAGCACATGGCTTGACTACACT